TTACTTGTTGTCATGAAAGGGGAAGTCATTTCTTTATATATTTCTTTTCTTTTCCTTTACTATATTCTTTTCTTTCTTTTCTATTTTTCTTTCTATTTTTTCCTCTTTTTTCTTCCTTCTCTGCACCTTCTACTCTTTCTTTTGATACTTCTATTTTTTCAGTTTGTACTAGTTTTTACTGTTGTAATTATAATCTTTAATAAAATTACTATTAAAAAAAAGTGAAATCCCATTTTGTGTGAAAACATTACAATCTCATAACATTTCAACATTCTTATTGGAGATTTTTCATTCTCACCCAAGATGTGAGGTTTAGGTGCTTCATGAGATTTCACTGGTGTGTGTGTGTGTAAAACATTGTGGGATGCTGTAGGCATTGTGGGTATTATGTAGCAGGCCACTTGCCTATCTAGCTCAGCATCCTGTTTTCCACAACAGCCATTGAAATACTGTACCATTGAAACCCCTTGAGAGAGAGCATGACAGCAATAACCTACTGATTCAATCGAGAAAATGTGATTCAGGATTTTGGGTAATCCCTAAGTTTCTACAGCACTTAAAGGATTTCTCCACCACTTGGAACTTCCTCTTTTGTGTGGATTGTGTTTCTCCACCACTTGGAACTTACTTTTTTCATGTCTTCGTAGAAGACATAGAGGATACGATGATTATCTTTCTCATCCCAGTAACGCCGCACATGGTCATACCATGATCCCCAGGGAACTAAGTCACAAATAAAGTAAGATGGAAAAAGAGCGAGGATCATCATTCATTTCATAAAATCAATTAATCAAAAGCAGTGCAATAATGCATGGTCACTTACCAGTCAATCCCGCAGGAATCAGCAGCATTTACATTCTGAGTAGTGTGTGCTTCCCTTTGCTTTTAAAAGCAAACACGGCAAAAGAAAGTGGGGGAGAAATAACTGGGGAAGCAATGGGAATTAGGCTTTGAGGTGGATGGAGTAGTAAGGACATAAAAATGAAAGGAGAACAGTCTTGGGGTACGTGTACGGAATGTGTTTCTATGGTAGGGATGGAGGGAGTCCACATGCATGAAAACGAACAAAAGCGTGATGGATTTGCATGAATGGGATGCAGACAAGTTAATGGTGCTGCAGGAAAAGAGCATGAATGGATGGATGAGTGGAGGTGATGAAATAATGGGTGAGGGATTACAGTGAGTATGGTAAACAAAAGTGGCTGATAGAGTGTGCGTGGAGTGTAAATGAATGAATTTATGCAAGAGAGGGGTGCATATGGCTCTTACCCTTCCCACCTTCAGCTGACACATTAACCCCCAAAAGATTACCCACAAGGAAATGTAGGCCCTCAGGTTGAAAAAAAGACCCGGTCTCTGCTGCACATATAACCCTGGAGTCTTAATTGATTTATCATTCTCTTAATTAAATCTGCATAAGTGAATGTAATATTTTGGAACAATTTATGTTTTTATCAAGGATACCTGCACATATTGTAAGTAAATAGCATCACCTAAGAAGAGGCATGGAACTGATGATGAGGACTGTACTTTCCAAAAGTATTTACATTTAAAAAATAAAAAACAAACATGTTTTCCAGTCAATTGAAAGTTATGGGAGGGGGGGGGTAATGGATTAATCTACTCTATTACAACTCTAATTGGAATCCTTCTACCCAAACTATAAATCCCCCACATACTTTCTCCTTCAACCAACACCTGGACTGTTCCCTAGCAGAACCCCCTTTTTAAGAGAAACAGGGAGAGAGAAATCAAATGCAAAACAGAACAAAATTCTTACTTTGAAGTTATAGACAGGAAAGGACTGTTTGTTGTGAGCACATCATCTCTGCATATGCTCTATCCCGTGACAAGCCTAGAAGCTGCATTCACATACCATGCTAAGCTTGGTTACTTTCAACCTTGGCAATTTTTAGTGGCTGAGCAAGTAGGTGTGAACAGAAACACTCGATTGATTCAATGTTTTCTGGAAATCCAGAAAATGATGACATGTAAGCAGGTTAAACTGGTTAAGTGGCCACAACCCCTAAGTTTGTGACCTCATACTCCAGAATGGGCTGAGACATGTTCTTCTCTCTCTGAAACTCTGAAAAAGAACTGCCAGTTAACGGAACAGGTGTCAACAAGAAAAGCTAATGGCCTGGCTGTATAAGGCAATAAAAACTTATGATCTGGGACGGTATCCAGCGCCGCAGTGAAATAAAAATGACTCTAAGATGGAGTTTCCATATTCTGGATGACTAAAACATAGTACACAATCTAGCCTGAAAGTCACACGACTCCCTTCCTAAAGGTTTGTAAAGCTTCCAAGTCCCTTGATAGCTGCTGCTGCTGCCGCCGCCAATTTTTAGCAAGTAAATAAAATTAAACCCAGTGATTTAAAGACTGGATAACATAGGAGGGAGCAGGTGAGAGAGAATCAGCTTAGGAAAAAGTTGCGGATGAGAGTGAAGAAACTGGTGAGAGGGTGGAGAGGTTTTTTTTGTTTTTGTTTTTTTTGCTGCTAGTTTTGATTCCTGGCGACTGCCTGGAAAGTCCCTGCAGTTTTCTTGGCTAAATATCGGAAGTGTTTTGCCATTGCCTCCTTCCTAGGGCCGAGAGAGAATGACTGGCCCAAAGTCACCCAGCTGGCCTCGTGCTTCAGGTGGGACTAGAATTCACGGTCTCCCAGTTTCTACACCAAACTGGCTCTCTCATTACTATGTATACATTCACTCAAAAAATTAGAAACATTTCTTATTTCCCAAGTAAATATTCAAGAAGAGTTTTGCACAAGGCAAAGACTACTGGCCTAACATTACAGCTCTCTACTTCCAAAAACAGAATCCTGGCATCTTCTTCATTTATCTCCAGGGCTTAAGCAGGAATAGACGACCCCTGAAGAACCTGCGTCCCAAAACTAAACTTTGGTGGTGGCAGCTCAGAAGATTGGCAAGGAGCTAGTGATGTGATCCACTTTGGCCTTCTGCACATATAAGATCGATATTCTAACAAGCTGTTGCAAAATGCGTGTAGTTTAGCAAGCTTTGTATTGTGAATTCCTCCACATGTGCAATTCAAAAGAATTGCTGAGCAAGCTTTGTGGATTGCGTCACTGTACTATAAATCACTCTTGCTTTTAAATCTATACAGTAGTGCTACTTGTAACAATTAAGATAAAAGGGACAATCTGAATTCTCTAATCTAACACCTGTTAAGGAAGGGACCCAAGAGGATGTTTGTTAGAAATGTTTCCCCTAAATATTCTCAGCAAAGGGTCAGCTGTGTGACTCCCCAAGTTATTGACCAGTCCACCCCAGGTGTTGTCTGCTAGAGAGGATGGCGTATTTAAGGTAACTCTGGCAGAAGCTCAACTGTCCGAATTTGTGATCCAGTCATTGGCAAAATGTGCCACAACCCATCTCCAGGTATTACTGTTTACACTCACTGTCCCTTTAGAAAAGTATAAAGAAGTGGCAAAACCCCCCAGACATTTTGAACTGTGGTGCAGACCTAAAGACCTAAGAAGAAAAGGTGATAGCAATGCCAGCTCAGGGATGTCCATCCCCTATCATTTTGGGGGAGGGTTCTTGGCAAGCTAAATGGATGTGATTTATCTTTCTCTGTTACTTTCTTAATATTTATTCAATAAAATCCTTTTTGGCATTTCACCATGGTTTTGAGCCTATGGTCTCTGAATCCTAACGAACCATTGGCTACAGGCTGGCCATTGATATCAACACACCTTTGCCTTCCATGAATTTCTTAAGGTACTCTTCCCAGGATCCTGGATCAGGTTGGGTCAAATTCATCTGGTCAAAGAAGTAATAGGATACCAGATTATCCTTGGCATTGCGAGCAACATAGATCATCTGTAAAGGGATAGAAAAGAAAATGATGATGGACGAGGCGATAAATTAGGACTGAGGAGTGGGACAAGGATACGAGTGGGACTTGAATAAACTTACTTTGCAGTTATTTTCCCAAAAAGTTTTAGGGATGAGCTGGAAGGGGAGGTGAGTTTTGATCACACGAGGAGATGGAGCATTCACCAATTTATCAACTCCTGAGGAAGAAGAAGCAGAGAAGAAGACCACATCAGTCCAACAGCCTATATAGTATATTCAAGAAGTAGTGCTGGACATCAAGATGGCCATGTTTTCTGGCCTTACCAGAAGGTACAGGAGGTGGAGAGCAGATTTCTAGAAACGGGATCCGGACATGTATGGGTGCCCGTTTTGCTTTTTCCAAGTCACCTCTAGTCTGTATCAGATCAACAATTTCCTGCATCCACGTGGTACCTGAAAGCCCAGAGGATACAAACAATTAGGACAGTCCCTTGGTAACCCCACAAGCCCTTCTTCCCAACTACAATTCATGACAGCGGCCCCTTTATATATTGGCTACATAATAAGCTGTACTGAAGGTGCACTACTAATACATATCATCACAACAAATGCAACATTGCATGTAGCAGCACAAATATATATCCCATTCCATATGAATTAAAACAGCACCACCTGCATGTAACAAGGTTTGTGGAAATTAAAATAGTTTTTAGAAAAATAACATAAGTGGTGGCGGTGGGGAACTAAACAGCCCAGTTAGGACTTAGCATGTTCTTGCCCACAGAATACACTTTGTTGGGGGGTAGAAATGGAAAAATGAAAATGAGGAATGGAGTTTCCTGAATGGAAGTATTTATTTCATTTTAGGTCCTGTAAGTAACCTTAGAGAATACAGGACAGAATACAGGTCAGAAACGTGCCTCATGGTTACCACAGCTCCTTATTTTTCCATATCTCTATTTCAGGTTTTTAAAGACAGTACTCTACAAAGCAAGCAAGAAGCAAACCACTTACAGTTACACAGTTACCTATTAAAGACCTTCACTTACAGTATAGCCTACTCTTCACTCCTGAGATAGTAAGTTAATCCAACGTGTTGAAAAGCAAAACTTTGAGAGCAGACTTTTAAAAAATCAAACCTATGTTATATTTCTATAAAATGACAACTCTTTTTCTTTGAAAAATATCATGTTTCTCGTCTGCTTCTTCCCAAGACTTTTAATCCACCTAACCACCTATTTATGAAACTCATGTGCAGGACAGTTGGTTCTAGTTTACCTCAATATGCAATTCCAACATTACCAAAACAGGAGCACAGACTGGCTCTCTTGTATGCAATCTATTGAACTCTGGAAGTGCTCATGAAAAATCTACCCGTGGCTGGGTAATCCTTCATCAAAGGAATTCCAAGAAACAAGGACAGCAAAGCAAGAAACCAGCCTTCAAAAGGTGCAAAGAAAAATGCACAGCTCCCAGTTTTTCAGCGCATGCAGTACGTTCCAGATCTAAGATACTGTTTGTCACAGGCAGCTGAATTTTCATTTTCAGAATAGAGCTTCCACATCTAAGATTTGCTTGTTTCATTTTTGTGGGATCGGTGCTAACTTCATCTTTTTTCTGAATTTTGTTCTTGCAACCCTCCATCTGCTATATTGCCCCATAGCAACTCACCTGCTTTGGGGTAAGTTGAGATGACCAAGTCATCTGGTCGTGCCTGGAAGTTTTCAATGGGATCCCACTGATCTGCGATAGGTTCCATCAGGGGGATTCCATGGACCAGCTTCAGCGGATACCTCCGAAAGACATGTGAATACTTATGTAGGAAATCATCGTAGTCCATTGTTTCAGTCATGGTGCCTTTTCAGGGTTGAAGGTTGTACAGTTCTTCTCCAAGAAAATAAGAGCTCCCTCCTGGAAGATTTTCTGAAGTGATTCTCTAAGAGGAAGGTTCCCCTTACTCCTTGTTTGTAGACACTGTTTGCTCTACAGCCTTTTTACCTCATTCCAGAAAGCACCACTCTTCTCATTAGCATTGCCTCACACCGGAAAGTTCAGCACCAGGAAATACTTTCATTCTGGTATTTCAGCTCGCCCCTTTATTTACCAGCCAACTGAAGTGACAGGGCAGGGAAACACCCAGGGAGGCTGGACTTCTGAGTATTTCACCTCAAGATGCTTTCATGAAGTCTTTTACTGAGCAGTTGACCTGTTCCAGGATCTTATAAAAGCTCCAGATTGCATACTTAACCACTCAGAATCCTCTGGTATTTTTTCAACACATCCTTTTAATTAACAGATGCCTCCCATCTGGAAGCCCCCCCCCCGCCCC